AGTGAAGAGAAAGTAGAATAAAGATCCCGAGTAGCTCTACCGAGAGCGGTCCATCCCATAACAATTGTACCGAGCTCAAAAACAATCTGCTCTCTATTGTATATTTATAGTATTAAATTTTGATTGACATAAGCGGTTTGCTGTAGATTTTTGTAGGTCAGTACTGCGAACACAACGGGCCAAACAATATCTGGCCATAGTTATTGGAACGGAATGGTTTGGAAACTCCATACTACGAAGCTATTGTTTTGCGTTTGATGTTGAACCGTACTATCACGTGTTACTGCCGGTACACAATGAACCAAAGCAAGTATAGCTGAAAATACTCATTTCCTTATTATTTTCATGTATGAACAATTTGAAAGTGAAAACTTTCATTCGACGACCAAAAACCATGCGGATTAATATTTTCGCGCAGATACAGCTAAGTTACTAGATGATAAATAAGAACGGCATGAAAAAGGCAATTTCCTTTTCAATAAACAATTTGTATTAACCATATAGGATTAATTAACAAATAATAAAGTGTTTTAGAACGTTTTTAGGGTTAAAAACTCCTATATTCCCGAATACTATAAACAAACAGAGCAACTTTTTTCTTTTCTGTGCACCGTCATCGTCATATGACAATGGATAAAGTCGAACAAAAACATAGAATGGGTTTCCCAACCATTCAGCTCCATTAACTATGATCTGGCCGAGCCAAAATTTGGTCATGACTTTTATTTGGCCGAACAATTTTTGTCTGCCTAGTGCGAACAGAAAACACAAAAACAATTATGGACTTCTGTGTTTTTTCCTTCCATTAGAGTCAAGCAATGCAAGAATAGAACCGGGGACACAGTCAGCAGGTTCACTGATAGTGTATGGGGACTCATTAGCATATCGGTTTGGATTATCTATCGCAAGGAACAAAAATGTGTGTGGTGGAATGTACAAGACGTGTTCTTATAGATATAACTGGATCTACCCTATTAACACAACAACAAAAGAACAAGTATGAATTTAACTTTTAAATTTTGAATAGATTAATTCTTTTCTTCAAACGCGTTGAGTGTAGTTGGTCAAGGAGGTAATCAAGTCTTTCACTTTGTGGGTTGGTGGGTGGGTGGGTGGGTGGGTAGATGGGTGGGTTTTTATGTATTTTTTTGAGAAGGAAGGTAGAATTTTTTGAAACAGAAATGCTTCTCTCCATGGCATATATAATAATGGGTTAACTGTGAATTTGGGATTGAAGATAAGAAAGAAATGAAGATAACAAACAAAGCAATTAAAAGAGGGGGGGAAAGGGAGTATCGAAGGGAAGGGTGGGGAAAAGTAGAAATAAATGCTGCATTAATAAAGAGTGACGGGAAAAATGGAAAAAGTTAAAGTACTAGCTAGATTGATCTTTATCATTTTTGCAGCGAATAAACCTCTTCAACGCCTACGCAACGTGGGCAATGTGCAAGGCTGGGATCCCTGTGCTTGACGTACATCCTGTTTCAGAATCCTTCGCGCCTGGTGCCTATGATGTGACTCATTATAAAGATTTTGTATTCAATAATGCTGAAAAAGCCTTGGAAGCCTTCAAAATAAACGAACTAAATGGCAGGCAAAGTTTTAGAACGCAGTTCTTGGGTTCTAAATGTAACCTGCTCAAAAAAATTATAAAAAATTGATCACCTACATAGACACTCTATTCGATGCAACATGCAACAACACTTTCACCGTACTTTTTTGAACTAGCTGTAGACAAAACACAGCTCGAGATACCTGTGGATTTCAGATGAATAGCAATTTAAATAGATAACAAACCCCCTCCGACGTCGAGGCACGGAACTTATAAACCAATCCAAAGAGCCAATCACAGCGTGGCTCTTGACACAACAACGTTTTTAGCTTGACAGGAATCAAAAGTAGTCTAATTTTCCGTATGAATTTTTGAACGGCATGTTCTAATTATGCACAGTTAATATTTTGGGAAACTTTTCACGCTTTTAAGCTAAGAGTTTTACCATCCAACTCTGCCTCGAGCTAGATGGGTAATTTCCGGGCACTGGAAGAGAAGTTCCTCAGGACGGGTACCTGACATAACTAATCACTTATTCTCTCGGCACCAGTCAAATGGAAAGCAATCATGACCCGAACAATAAGACCACGTGTACAGAGCGAAAGAGCGATAGGACAATAAAGCTGTTACGAGAAATCATATGCTTACATAATATCAGTGTTGTTTCGATTTCGATTTTTGAGTTCTCTCGCAAGATCTAGCTGGAACTCTTCTTATTGCGTGACCCAGATTGAATACTGATTTCAGTTATCCACAAAGTCTACCGAACGAATCAATCTGAGAAACCAAAGAATGGATGCGATAAGAATTAACGGAGGCCAAATCATTATTTACGGACTATCGTTTTTAAGTCTTATTCTGGTCAACAATGTCATGACTTTAGTTCTCTTCAGCTATCTTGGGTGTTCTTTTGTTCCGATGGCAATTGTTTTAGTCATATATGGCTTCTTGTTGCTCTGCTGGTCTAAATACTCTAGAAAATCAAAAACAACGTCAGAAACCAAACCTGACCGCAAATTTTTAATGGATGCGTTGCGTTCTGTAGAGACGTCAAAAATACCCTATGTTGTGGATCGGTTTTTGGAGCTCGACAAAGCTGGGGAAACGACTGAAGAACAAGAAGAAAGAATATCTAGAATCCCTTTGGATAGTTGTTGTGTAGTTTGTCTGAGTTCCGAGGCGTGTATAAGGACTCTTCCTTGTTCTCACACGGTGACTTGCGGCTGGTGTGCTTGGCAGTCTCTCAAGATATCATTCGAGAATGGGACTCCGCACCGATGTGTGATTTGTAGGACAGAGATCGAGGACTTTACGGGCAGTTTGATCAAGAATTTAATGAATATTAAGTGGAAAGACGTGCGGAAGATTGTCGATGAAATCAAAGAATGAATGTACGTGAAAGTAACTACCAAAACAGTGGAAAACTCTACAAAAAATTTACACATTAGAAACGTCCACATTTGCCATGATTTTTAATGAGTTGATTATTACAATTTTTGAACTGACCGCTCGTCCAATCACAGCACATGAAAATCAATCTTGAAGTACGAAATTATACTAATTGAAAATAATTACTACGGTGCTTAAAAGTGATTAAAGAAATGTGTTCAAGGAAAGATATTGCACACTGTCTGTTATAGGAGTTTTCATATGCCTGTTAAAAGCTCACGGCACAAACACGGTCATGACACGGCAAGGCATATGCCAGACCAATGGCATTTGCACACAAGAATTTACTCTGTATCCAATCAATTGCCAATCAATTGAAAAGGCATACGTCAGACCAGTCACATTGCACGAGAATTTACTCTGTATCCAATCAANGCCAATCAATTGAAAAGGCATACGTCAGACCAGTCACATTGCACGAGAATTTACTCTGTATCCAATCAATTGCCAATCAATTGAAAAGGCATACGCCAGACCAGTCACATTGCACGAGAATTTACTCTCCATCCAATCAAATACCCAAAACACGGTGGTCATGGCATTGCCATACCAATCACATTGCCGAGGTATTTTCGCGGCTTGAAATCATTGTAACTCTAAACATTAATTCACATTCTCACAATTAAGGTGACTGCCTACTTTTGGAAAACGATTTAAACTTTTTTTAAACTTTGATCTTTCGAATTGAAATTTAATGCTGATTCCAAATCTGGAAAGAAAAATTGGTGTCCATAGCTTGTTTTCGAGATAATCAGCATTTAATGGAAGCCTACGCGCGAGCTTTTGGAGCAAAACTTGCGCCAGCGGAAGTGGTTAGAAAAAAATTAAGATTCATAAGATAATAGTTATTTGCAGACTATATG